TAATTGTTGAACTTACAATCAGTGAATGGAGCAATTCTCCTTCAGACAAGGAAATCAGCAAATTATCAAGACATTACTCCTTCTAACTTCATGAGTCATCTATCCCAACAATGAATTTGGGTAGCATTCTATGGTCACATTTGGCAGTTAAGATTTTTGAGCTCTGAATCATGAAAATAGGTCAAAAGACTACATTTGTTAAGTTAAATCTGTAGTCATTCTGTAATTAAGGCTGAAAATGTATTCAAAATTCTTTTTCTAATCCAAATTATGACCATTCTATTATCCAGCATAGTCCTTCGCAGGTCCTGAAATGAGATCAAGTGACTTATAAATTCTAAATATAAAATCTGAACATTACAGAGATGTGCCAAAGAAAACAAGCATGTTAAATTATATGTGTTCTCAAGGAGATATGAAAGTGCAAAGATTAAATCACCTAAAAAGTTCAAATTAAAAAAACATTAAAATTCAAAGGAATTAAAGTCTGCAAATTCTTGTGTACTGTAAGTAACACCTTGAAGAAGTTAAAAATCAGAACGCTTAAGTGATGTAAAAAAGATATTACCCAAATTTTTCCTTCTGCTTTCTCTCAGTCAGAGACATTCTCAGTGCCTGAACTAGGCATAGTTCCCTCAGAGATTCAAAAATTGTATATGAAAGACAAGTAACTACATTTCAGCTCACAAAAAGGTGAGTTGATTCTATATAATATTCTATGACCCCTGATAAATAAAAAAAAATGAATCAAAGATATAAATAAATATAAAATAAATAAAAAAGTAAAGCCATTGAAGTACTAAAGCAGACAAATTCCTTTATAAATATGAAATGAGAAAGACATTTCTAAATATAACTCAAAACCCAGAATATAAAGGAAAATAATGATAAAGTTTTCTACATTAGAAAAATAAGCAATGTTACAAGAAAAATGACACATTTGCAGGAAAATACTTAAAATCCACATCACAAAAAAAAATCCATCTCCTTACATATACAAAAAATAGTCAGAAAGCAAGTGAAAATTTTTTTAAAAACTACACTAAAAGCTTCCTAAAAATGAGCAATCTGAGAGTCATTTCACATAAAAAGGAACTAAAGGCCCTTACAAAAATAGTTAAATCATTCACATCTTATTGTTACATAATAAGTAAAAAATTAAAACAAGACAATATTTTTCATTTATCAAATTGTCAAAAATCCAAACATTAATTAATACTCTGTTGATGAGGCTATGAAGAAGCAGGCTTCAAGCAAAATGAACGATGGTACAACACTTACTGAGAAGAATTTGGTAATATATAAGCAACAACACATGCATGTATTTTTTATTTATTTATTTATTTTTTTGCTGTTGTTGTTCTAGGAAAGTCTACCTCAAGGAATTTCTACTATAAACTTACCTATCAAAAATGACATATACAGGGGCTAGGGTTGTGGCTTAGCAGTAGAATGCTCACCTAATGTGTGGAGCACTGGGTTCAATCCTCAGCACCACATAAAAATAAAATAAAAGTATTGTGTCCAAGTAAAACTAAAACAAAATATTTTTTAAAATGACATATACAACTTTATTTATCATTGTACTATTTATAATTGTAAAAGAATAGAAGTCATCAAGTATCTCTTAACAGGGAACTATTTAAGTAAAGTATGATACATTCACATAACAAAATATTAATGTCATGCAGCTTTAAAAAAAGGAAGTATTCTACATATTGGTATAGAAATATTTCTAAAATATGCAGTTAATAGCGTGGGGGACAAGTAGCAGAGCAGTGTAAAAATTGCTTTTGTGGGGAAAAAAAGAATAATAAAGAGTGTATATTCATATTCACACATACCATGTTTACAAACATGACACAAAAGAAATATACAGAATAGCAGAACCTACTAAATGGTTTACCTGTATACTTCTGACCCTGAATCTCTGGGTATCTTTCTCCCACTTACAAATTAAAATCTTTTTGAACCTATCCTTAAAATGTAGGAATTATAGGAATTTTTACTTCAGGTTTCATACCTGATACAAATGAGTCAACATTTATAAAATAGCATACACAGAACAGTACTGAGTATTTAATAAGCTTTATAGAAAAGTTTATTTAAACAAAATTTGTAGGGATGGGTAGAGATCTGAACAGAAATAAGATTTATCAATATATGCTTGCTTATATCATTTTAGTTTCTTAACTATTTGGATGTATTGTTCAAAAACAATATTAAAAACTTAACAAAATTGGGTCTACATCCATGAAATTTAAACATAAGCCATTCACATCTCCAAGAAAAATTATCCCAAGGAAGACTGTATTCTTAGCAATCAGGACTAAATGATATCTAAAGGAAAAAGAGGGCACAAAAATAATGTTGGTTTCAGCCTCCCCTATCTACAATAGGTTAACTATGACACCATGGATTCATGAAATCTGAGAGGAAAATGAACTTTGCATACTGTTAACAATATGAAATGAAAATTGAAATATTTCTGTTTTTCAGAAAAATTTACAATAAAGATGACCTGGTTTCACTTAAGAAACATTTTCTTCCTCTATAGCATGTTTAAAATATCTCTTCATTTCCATTCCCTTTTGGAGCTCCCAGTTTCTAGTGTTCTGTTGCTCCTGGAAAAGACTCTATTCTCCAAAACAGAGCCTACTATCTCCAGTAAGCAGCTATTTTCAATCCTATACCATAGTGGCTCTTTCCACTGCCTCTTGTTATGGAATTGCTAAACTGGTGAAACCTGCCTCTTGGGGAGGGTTTCCGTCTGATCCCATTTGTTTTGGCTGGAAAATCACTTGCAACAGATTCCTGAACTGAAGCTGCAATTGATGTTTCTGAAGCCTGAGCCCCCAGGGAACCAGTGAGAACTAATCCTTCTTCCATTGCTCCTTTAGGCACCATCTTTTATCACTGAATTGTTCAGACCTTGAACAGCCTTTTTTTTTCTGCTACGTATTTTTCTGCAGCAAGAAAAATACCTCTAGTTTTTATTTTCTTCTATTCTTCTACATTTTTCAGAAAATTTAAAAATTTTAAGTATTTAATCTTAAAAAGTTGAGTTTTTAACTGCTTAACCTGCTCATTAATTTAATCTCTTCTCCAACAGATTATTCATTTGCTGGAAATGATAACTTACTTTCCTTTTTCTTTCCCCCTTAAACCGTCATTTTTTGTTAGCAAGAAACTCCCATGTTTCTTAAATTGCTGAGTCTTCTCTACCAACAACAAAATAACTTAATTATGAGTTTAATAAAAGCACCTATTGCTCAAACAAATCTTTTCCTCTCCATCTCATTGGGATATATGATTCCACAGAAGAACTTTTCTCCATCAGACCAACATCTTGCCTATCCAAAATTTAATTTATATTTTCTTGCCTGCTTCTTGCAATATGACTCATCTTGCTGAGTCTTTTCTTGATTCTCAATCCTTGGGAATGTTTCTACAAAGCACAAAATATATCTGTATTTAAACTACAATAGTTACATTACCTTTTAAATCACCTAAAGATACTTAGTGTACTCTAGAGACCTTCCTACTCTTCCCCAATCTTTATGAAACATTTCTAATGGCCTTTAATATCACCATTTATCTGTGATCTCAATATAGTTTCTTACTTTCTGAATTTCTTTGAAGGAGTCATTTCATTTGAGAGTTTAGCTCTTTTTTATTAATTGAGGGCCAGTACCTTATTTCAATCTAGTAACAACTAAGCATCTCCTGTTTCATATATGCTGTTGTACAGCATTTTGATCTCCTTTAATCTCTTTCTCTTATAGATGTCTACTTCAATTTCATTTTCAATTCTCATTTTCTGTGTCACTCCAGTAAGTCTATTCTCTAATTTCCCAAGTTTCCTTCTAAAATAAAATAACCATTTCCTCCAGCTCTAACCTCTTTTAATATTTCTAACATTCTTCTATTCCTCTATATTAACAATGTAGCATATTCCTACACAAAACTGAAATCCAGAACCAGAATATTACAATCATCAGCCATTTTACTTGCTCTATTAGCAATAGTTTTTGCAATAATTCTATTGTTTCTCATTCTCAGGTTAAGAAGAAGGTATGTGCTTTTCTCAGAATGCCCAAATTCTTTCTAAATGGAATCATATTTTCATAATATGATAACCTATACACCTCCTATGGTTGGAGTCACAATCTGGATCTCATTGATCAGAATTATTGCCAAATACAGAATTATCAGATTCAAAACTAACTCGAGATCAAGAAGTTGGAACAAATTTTAAATCTATATACAAGTTATTACAGTTCCCTCTCTTGGTCTGAAGGAAAGACAATATGAATGAAAATCAGAATATGAGCAAACTTTCTACACCCCCTACACAGGCCTGGAAAAAACTGCTGGAGATAGGAAAAATACTTTGAGATCTAAAAGCTTTATATACAAAAAGACTCTATCATCAAACCTTTTTTTCAGACTCCACAGGAAAAAAAAATCGTACCTGCAGATTTTAAGGCCAAGCATCAACAATCATTTAATTAGGACCCATTTAATAAAGATGTCTCAGCACTCCTGGTCAGTTTTTGTTTGCTGAGACGCTCTAAACTGGCTTTTTTTTTTTTTTTTTTTAAGCCCAAGGCAGGCAACTCTGCTTCTTCTACAGAAAAGAATATTTGCTATTATACAATAACCACTCTCTGTGGACAAAATCGCCATCGCTACAACTCAACTACAACTGAAAACGTAGTCAGTGAATAGCCTAATTCTGCCAAAGAACAAAGCCATGCCAGGGTATAAAACTCCACAAATGACTCTGCCACGAAGAACTCCTCTTTTTCTTACTCCATGCCTAAATGTGTGTGGAAATCCAAAATATAACGTCTCTCTTACCCCTCAGGGAAAATTTTTTAAAAAATCAAAAAAAGTGAAGTAGTAATGAGAACAAAATATTTTCATATAACTGCTTGAGCTTAGACTGAAGCTTATCACTGTGCACTTAATTAAACTGACCCCAGAAAGAGACTTACCAACGACTTAACAGGCAGCAGCGAAAGAAGATGGCGGACAGTCAATTCTGGTCTGTTTGTTTTCCACCTGAAGGGGCTAGAGTAAAGTAGACACTTCCTGCGGGCAACTCCCGCTTAAGAGGAAAGGGAGGAGCCAGACATGCATGCAAACGTTCTCCCTCCAAATTGACCAATCAGGTGACTGGTTGCCACCTCCACCAGAAAAAGTAGAGACATTAGGAGTGTTACTCTAATATGTGTCCGGCTGTAATGACGGAAACCACAGAACTGAATATATTATTCCTTCCTTGAGCAAAACACACAGTCTGTCCTTTGGGATGGCTTCCTTTTATATCACAACAGTGTTGGCCAGCTCATGAACTCTTTCTCGGAATTTGTAGTTTTGTGTAACTTGATCTTTTGGAGGGGACATTTAAGATCCCCTGCAACCCCAAACAAGCTATAGGTGTTTCGTAGTGTATTTGACCTCTCTGAAGTATACCATGACACTAGTTATGGCAATCATGTAATATTTCTTCTGAATAGTTCAAAGTGGAAGGAGCAATAAAATTAATTACAATTATATGGATTATTTTTTGAATCCATATAATTTTGAAATTTTTATACTAGTTGACCAATAAAAAGTGCGGTTCAAATTCATTTTTAAAAAGGAAACTATTCTAAGAACTGAAATAGCATAACTGTGTATTAAAGCAAAAGCTTTTTAAAAATCCATTTTGATAATAAAAACATTAAAAATAACATTGGATGTTAATTCTTGCAGTTTTCTGATGTATTTAAATTAGTTTTTCAACCTTGTTTTTATAATTGGGTCATTAATACTTTCTGAAGAGTGCATTTTTATGTGATGTTTCTAAATTTTTAATTTCCTATAGACTTAACACATATACATGGTTGTTATATATGGAATTTTTTGTTATTATCAATTAACTTTTCATTGTAATTTATAATATTTTAAATTGAAATATAAGCTCAGAGAAATTCTGCTAAACAGAAAATGTCATTTCTCTTTTTTCGAATTGAAATATGTAATTTTTGCACCTCAAATATTCTTAAAAATAGGGTTTTTTTTATTCCTCTATTCAGAGTACCTATCTTTAGCAAATAGTTGTATAAGGCAAACTTTATAAAGTGTTTATAATTCTTCCAAAGGTCTTGCCAAATTTAGATCCTGCACATCAGAAAGCCATTTAAATTTTTTTATCTGAGAATGTGAATTTATGCAAATTATAATAAGAACCTTAAAAAAACTTCTTCGTGCAAGTTTGAAATATTCCAAAATAAAATTATAGAATTTCAAAATTAAGTTATTATGTTATTTAAGAGTCAATTAAATTTATTCATCATATTCCATGACTTTCAGTGGTAAATTTAAATGTCTTCCTGTGGCACAGACATTATTTACAATAACTAAAATTTGGAAAATCTTCAAAACATGAATTTTATTGGCACAAAAGTTAAATTCTTTGATTAAAATTTCCAAATGATTTTTAATACAAGTTTGGCAAAAAAATTATGTCTTGTGTAATAAAACGTAATACCTTTTAGACCATTTAAGTTTACTTACAAAGTGATTGTTTAAATGATCAAAAATTTCAAAATCCTATTTAGAAGCAGCACAAGGAGAAATTGTGCTATTGTTTTTGGTATTCAATTCTACTTTATTACAAAAAAGTTTTTAGTTTAATTAACTTAATGTTAACATACAACATTATGAATTTTTAAAAACACAGTTTCTATTTCAATTATAATTTGGGTAAATTTATGAATTATGTGTATATATTATATGTATATATATTATCTATATAATATATATTATATGCATATAATATATATATTATATGTATATATATTATATCCAATTATAAGGACATAATTATTCCATTGGTTTCTCAATATAATATTAGTATTTATTTTACTATGGCCTGTGTTCTGCCCAATTCAAATTTATATGAAACTGCAAATAATTTTAGTTTAATTTTTTTTGATGGGAGAAAGTACTGGGGATTGAACCCAGATGTAATTAACCACTGAGCCACATACCCAGCCCTTTTTTATATTTTATTTAGAGATAGGATCTTGCTGAGTTGCTTAGGGCTCCGCCAAGTTGCTGGGGCTGAATTTGAACTCATGATCCTCCTATCTTAGCCTCCCGAGCTGCTGGGATTACAGGGATGGCTCATGTAAACCCACTATGGTATTACATGGTGGCTCATCACCATGTTCAGCTTAGTTTAAATATTATCTGCACTGAATATAAAATTACATTTGTAGGCTCTCAAAGCACAGGAACAAAACCCAAAATAGACATGAGATTAAATATAACTAAAAAGATTCTGCACAGCAAAGGAAACAATCATCTGAGTAAAGAGGCAACAAACACAATGGAAGAAAATATATTCAAACTATGTATATGTCAAAGGATTAATATCTAGAATATATAAGGAATTCCAAGAACTCATTCACACAAAGCAAATAACCCAATTAGAAAATGAGCAATAGACATTTCTCAAAAGAACACATACAAATGCAAGTGGCCACAGGTATATGAAAACATGCTCAATATCACTAATCATCAGGGAAATGCAAAACAAAACCACAATGAGATATCACCTCACTCCAGTTATAATGGCCATTATCAAAAAGAGTAAAGATAACAAGTGTTGCCAAGATTGTGGAGAAAAGGGAACCCTTGAATGTTGTTGGTGGGAATGTAAATTAATACAACTATTATGGAAAACGTGGAACTTCCTCAACAAACTTAAAACAGAACTACCATATGATCCCACAATCCCACTACTGGTGTATATGTTCAAAAGAAATGAAATCATCATGTTGAAGATATATCTGCACCCCCTATGTTTCTTGCAACACTATTCATAATAGCTGAGAAATGGGAATAACTTAAGTGTTCATTAAGTAATGAATGGATTAAAAAATGTAGTACATCCACACCACATGATATTATTCAGCCTTCAAAAAAAAAAAGAAATTCTGTTATTAGGACAACATGAATGAAACTGGAGATCATTATGTAAAATGAAATAAGCCAGGCACAAAAAAGACAAATACTGCAGGTTCTCACTTTTATGTGGCATATTAAATATTGATCTAATATAAATTGAAGTTAGAATGTTGGTTATCAGAGGCTATGGAAAGTAGGGGATAGGGAAAAATGGGGAAACTTTGAGTAATTGGTATCAATATACAGTTAGGAGTTAGAAGTTATGGCTCGGTCATTCCACAGTGGAGTAACCATAGATAATGAAAATGTTTGTATATTTCAATAAGTTAAAAGAAAGGATTCTGAATTTTGTCACCATCAAGAAATGATAAATATCTTAGAAGATCCATATATTCAACCCAATTTAAATGTGCAATGTATACATGTGTTGAAATATCACATGGTACCCAATTAATATGTGCATTTTTATGTTCTTATATGTCAGTTAAATATAGAAAAATTAAGAAGAAAAACCAAAAGCTGATAGTACCACAGAAGGCAAAAATGAGATTTCCAAAAGCATATGTAGAAGATAAATTTATCAAAAAATTTAGGAAAAAAACGACATTGAAAATACATATGACATCTAATTATAAAAGTGCTTTTAATTGTAAAAAAAATACATAAACTTCAAAGAAAATATGTAAAAGTAACACAGCGAATTAAAGGAAACATATCTCAAAAGAACAAAAATAATAAAAAGTAATCATAAAACCTTGAAAAACAACTGAAACAAGTATAATATGTGATTAACATGATTGCTGTATAAGAATTCATTAAAATTGAATAAGAGGAAAAACTTCTGATAGAAATGTAGACAGAGGTCTGGGGTTGTGGCTCAGCTGTAGAGAGCTTGCCTAGCCCGTTCGAGGGCCTGGGTTCGATCCTCAGCACCACATAAGAATCAACAAAATAAAACTATTTTAAAAATGACATGCTAAAAAATAAAAGAGAAATGTAGACAGAAATCTTTGGCAGAAAATTCTAGAAAAAAAATATTAAAATTAAGTATGCTAAGCCAAGTGTGGTGGCACACACCTGTAATCCCAGCAACTCAGGAGACTGAGACAGGAGAATTTCAAGTTCAAGGCCCACTTCCGCAATTCAATGAGGCCCTAAGTAACTTAGTGCAACCCTCTCTCAAAAAAAAAAAAAAAAAAAAAAAAAAAATTCAAAATAGGGCCAGGGAGCTTTGTGTTCAACGTCAGTTTCAAAAAAATAAATATGTTAAAATACTCTAAATTACCAGTAATGTAACCAAATAAAAATAACATTCACAATAATAATGTATGTTTTACTTATGAAGAGTGAATTTTCCAAATTTTTATTCTATTTTATGACTAAGTGAGAAAAGAAATAAGCATTGAAAGTGGCCCAATGGATTTTCTGTTAGAAGTATCTAATAATGATATAAAACTGTCCTTGTGTAACATTAACAACTACCATGTCTCACATACTTGCACTACAAAGCTTGTGATTAAAAATAAAAATTTGCTGAACTGTCAATTGATCTACAGGAAAATCTGTTTCATATGAACTGAAATGAAATCTGAAAATCTGTGTTATATGTACATGCACCTTTTCCCACTCTGTTATCTTATTTTCCAGTACAGTAATTTTTTTTGGGGGGGGGGCGGGGGTGGTATCAGTGATTGAACTCAGGGGCACTCAACAACTAGGACACATCCCCAGCCCTATTTTGTATTTTATTTAGAGACAGGGTCTCTCTCACTGAGTTGCTTAATGCCTCACTTTTGCTGAGTCTGGCTTTGAACTCTCGATCTGCCTTCCTCAGCCTCCTGAGCCACTGGGATTACAGGTGTGCACCTCCGCACCTGGCCAGTATAGTCTTTTTAATACTATTTTTGAAGTAGGTACTGATGATTCTTAGATTTATGTCTTTTAGTGTTCATAGTGATATCACAATGTTTTCATAGTGAATTAAAACATGGACAGATTTTTTGTACACTACATTTTATTTATTATCATTCTTAAAAATAAAAATTTGGAATTTAAAATCTTATTAACATTCATTTTCCTTTTTTTTTTTGAGCTCACTGTTCCTGGAAAGACATTGCAAAATTAGAAGTTTCGATAAATGATAAAATATGCATTTATAGTATACAGCAAAAGACACAACATTATAACAAGAGCATTCAGACTACTATATATAAATTTGAGAGCAGCATGAGTCAG